TACTGGACGGGTTCCAAGAGTATGCCTGTGCGTACTTAGATGATATAGCCATTTATAGCCAGACCTGGGCAGATCATTTGAAACATATTAGTGTGGTCATTGACCGTATTGGAGAGGCAGGGCTGACACTAAAACCTAGCAAGTGTCACATAGGGATGGCAGAGGTGCAGTACCTGGGTCACAGGGTAGGATGCGCACAGCAGAGGCCTGAACCGGCCAAGATAGAGGCAGTAGCTAAGTGGCCTACCCCCAGGACAAAGACACAAGTATTGGCGTTCCTTGGTACCGCTGGTTACTACAGAAAATTTGTGCCCAATTACAGCGCCCTGGCCAAACCCCTGACGGACTTGACCAAGAAAAACTTGCCACGACAGGTCAACTGGGCCCCAGAGTGTGAACAGGCATTCCATGAACTAAAAACTGCATTAACTAAGGCTCCTGTGTTAACTTCCCTGATCCAACTAAACGATTTCTTGTTCACACAGACGCTTCCATGTTTGGATTGGGGGCAGTACTGAGCCAAGTGGGAGCTGATGGCGGAGAACATCCCGTAGCTTACTTAAGCAGAAAATTACTACCAAGGGAAGTAGGCTACGCCGCCATCGAGAAGGAATGCCTGGCCGTAGTGTGGGCCCTCAAAAAGTTACAACCTTATTTGTATGGACAACCATTCTCCTTGCTCACAGATCACAACCCGTTGGTGTGGCTACACAGGGTGTCAGGAGACAATGCCCGGCTGTTGCGCTGGAGTTTGGTGCTGCAGCCGTTTGATTTCACGATCCATTATCGCCCTGGAAAACAGAATGGTAACGCCGATGGGTTGTCCAGACAGACAGAACTTGAGAAATGATCTGTGAGCACTCCCCCGGACATCCCCAAGCCGATCCGCTGGGATCAGACTGTGTATGCCGGCTTGGTTTTGGGGGAGCATTGTGGCAAACCTAGCCACTTGGGACTGCCTAAGATAGAATGGTTGTGCCTATTTTCTGTTGTGTACTGCGCGCCGGTATAGTGTGGCGTCTCCTGCTATGTTTAATTTATGCTGTACTGTGTATGTCTGTTCGAATCCTCCCCATTCGTTAGCATTGCTATTAAAACTGACTAAGTTGTATATTTTGAAGTAGGAAGGTAACGGTTTATGTCCTCGTGGTTTTCATTACTGTATGTTACAGCAGGGGCTGTTGGGAGGAGGATCTGGAAACGGTAGTCTCCCTCCAGTCCCCTCAACCAAAACCCCTGCTGCCCATCTTTGGAAACCCCTGTTGAGTGACCTGCTTTAAATATCAGTTATTTTTAATAAAGTGACAGTTGAGTGACCTGCTTTAAATATCAGTCTTTTTGAATAAAGTGGCAGTTGACTCTCAGACTGTGTTTCGTCTGGTTCTTGGGAGGATTTGGGAATATTGCCTGGTTCCAGCTTTGTACTTGGTTATTGCATTCTACCAGCAGAGATCCTGGGATTATAAAATTGCAGCTCCGCAACAATTATGTCTCCTGTCACAGTACGCATTGGGTATACATTATCTCTCCTGTCACAGTACGCATTGGGTATACATAATCTCTCTTGTCACAGTACACATTGGATATACATTATTTCTCCTGTCACTGTGCGCATTTGGTATACATTCTCTCCTGTCACAGTGCGTATTGCATATACATTATGTCTCCTGTCATAGTGCGCATTGGATATACATTATGTCTCCTGTTATAGTGCGCCTTAGGTATACAATATGTCTCCTGTCACAGTACGCATTGGGTATACATTATGTCTCCTGTCACAATACGCAGTGGGTATACATTATCTCTCCTGTCACAGTACACATTGGGCATACATTATCTCTCCAGTGACAGTGCGCATTGGGTATACATTATGTCTCCTGTCACAGTACGCATTGGGTATACATTATCTCTCCTGTCACAGTACGCATTGGTTATACATTATGTCTCCTGTCATAGTGCGCATTGGATATACATTATGTCTCCTGTCATAGTGCGCATTAGGTATACAATATGTCTCCTGTCACAGTGCGCATTGGGCATACATTATCTCTCCTGTCACAGTGCAGATTGGGTATACATTATCTCTCCTGTCACAGTACGCATTGGGTATACATTATGTCTCCTGTCACAATACGCATTGGGTATACATCATGTCTCCTGTTACAGTGCGCATTGGGTATACATTATGTCTTCTGTTGCAGTACGCATTGGGTATACATTATGTCTCCCGTCACAGTACGCAGTGGGTATACATTATCTCTCCTGTCACAGTTCGCATTGGGTATACATTATCTCTCCTGTAACAGTATGCATTGGGTATACATTATGTCTCCTGTCACAATATGCATTGGGTATACATTATCTCTCCTGTCAAAGTACGCATTGGGTATATATTATCTCTCCTATCACAGTGTGCATTGGGTATACATTAGGTCTCCTGTCACAATACACATTGGGTATACATTATGTCTCCTGTCACAGTGCAGATTGGGTATACATTATCTCTCCTGTCATAGTGCGCATTGGATATACATTATCTTTCCTGTCATAGTACGCATTGGGTATACATTATCTCTCCAGTGACAGTATGCATTGTGTATACATTATCTCTCTTGTAACAGTAAGTATCGGGTATACATTCACTCTCCTGTCCGAATACGCATTGGGTATACATTATACTGGCACAGTAAGTATTGGATATACATTATCTCTCCAGGGACAGTACGCATTGGGTATACATTATCTCTCCACTGAGAGTACGCATTGGGTAAACGTTATCACTCCTGTCACAATAAGTATTTGTTATACATTATACTGGCACAGTAAGTATTGGATACACATTATCTATACTCTCACAGAAGGCATTGTATATAAAATATACTGGTACTATAGGTATTAGATACACATTATACTGGTACAGTAGGCATTAGATATAAACTATACTGGTACTACAGGTATTAGATACACGTTGTACTGGTACAGTAGGCATTGGATATATACTATACCGGCACTATAGGTATTAGATACACGTTATACTGGTACAGAAGGCATTAGATATAAACTATACCGGCGCTATAGGTATTAGATACACGTTATACTGGTACAGTAGGCATTGAATATATACTATACCGGCACTATAGGTATTAGATACACGTTATACTGGTACAGTAGGCATTGGATATATACTATACCGGCACTATAGGTATTAGATACACGTTATACTGGTACAGTAGGCATTGGATATATACTATACCGGCACTATAGGTATTAGATACACGTTATACTGGTGCAGTTAGCTGGCGCAGAAGCCGTGACTGTGTTGTGTGTGCTAATTGACAGGGAGGGGGGGAATTGACAGGGAAAGGAGGGGAATTGACAGGGAAGGGGAATTGGATGGAGGGGGGGAATTGACAGGAAAAGGGGGGGAATTGACAGGAAGGGGAATTGAATGGAAGGGGAATTGACAGGAAGGGGGGAAATTGACAGGAAGGGGAATAAATTGAAAGGGAGGGTGGGGAACAAATTGAAAGGGCGGGGGATAAATTGAAATGGAGGGTAGGGAATAAATTGAAAGGGGTGGGGAATAAATTGAAAGGGAGGAAAATTGAAAGGGATGGGCGATAAATTGACAGGGGGATAAAATTGACAGGGAGAGTAAAGGAATAAACGAAAGGAGGGCGTGGGGAATAAATTGAAAGGGGAATAAATTGATCGGGGAAATTGAAAGGGAGGGTCGGGAATAAATTGAAAGGGGGGGGAATAAATTGAAAGGGAGGGAATAAATTGAAAGGGAGGGGAAAGAAATCCACAGGGTGGGTGGGAAGAAATTGACAGGGAGGGGAATTGACGGGGGAGGGAGGGGGAATGAGAGTGGGGAGGGGAGAAGAGAGTGACAACGGGGGAGAAGAGGGGAGAAGAGAGGGACAAGCAGGGGAGAAGAGAGTGACAAGGGAGGTGGAGAAGAGAGTGACAAGGGAGGGGGGAGAAGAGAGGGACAAGCGGGGGAGAAGAGAGGGACAAGCAGGGGAGAAGAGAGTGACAAGCGGGTAGAAGAGAGGGGGGAGAAGAGAGGGACAAGGGAGGGAGAGGGGGGAGAAGAGATTGACATCCATCACACACACACACAATGCACCCCTTACACACAAAGACAATGCACCTCCTGCACACAGAAAAACACACAATGCATTAGACACACAGACACACACACAAGCAATGCAACCCTTACACACAATGCATCCCTTACACACACAGAAACACACAATGCAGTCCTAACACACACTCAATGCACCCCTTACACACACTCAATGCACCCCTTACAGACGCACACACTGCATCCTGTACATACACAGAAACAGACCTTGCAGCCTGTGACGAGAGCAATCTCGCCACATTGCATTGGAGAAGCCTGGTTGCTCGCCTGTTGCCTTTGGATTATGGCCCCATGTTAAGAGGCTTGATTTTCCCCTGCAAAGACAAGAAAGCCAGGTCATTTGGTGCTTGCCCTGTTTGAGCAGTGATACCCCAGATAGCTATGCCATGGAGCCCATTCCTATAATGAAAGACTATGGGAAAGACTTTGGCTCCATGGCAATTGAACTGTATGTGTGTGCTCTGAGCGCCATTCAGTAATAATGTGCGCTCAGACCTAAGCTATCTGGGCATATGTTGCATGTCTGTATTTTATGTCATAAATGTTACCTTGTGTATTTTATTGTATTTTACTGTCTTTTTGCTGCCATGTGTTCAATGGAGTTTTGCCTCTGTCTTTGGAGATAATTGGATTACTTCACAATTATCTCCAGGATAGAAGACTCTGTGGAACTGGTTTTGGGCAGAAAAGCCATGCTTCCTGTGGTCACAAAGGACTACGATCTATCTTTTGAACCACTGGACCAATTTGTATGATTTTGACGTATGTTTGTATTTGGAGTATGCTGATTCTGAAAATGTATGTTTTATGTGAATGTGATGCATACTTTTCAAGTTATGAATAATGTGGAAAAAATTTATTTCTCTGCTTGTGCTAAATTACATTACCCATTGTGTAAGGTAATTGAATCACATGCAGAGGGGAGGAATTTGTGTGGGAGTGTCTAAGTGTATTGTATGTGTTTATTGGTTGTATTCCAAAACCCTGTGGGTGGTACTAATGTGTAAGAATGTGTACATAAGCACAATACACCCACAGCTCTGACTGTTCACTGCTTGACCCTCAACACGGAGCCTTGTCTCGTTCTTGGGGGGATTTATTGTATGCTGTTCCAGTTTGACTGCTAGGAGTGTAAACCTATTCGTATGGTTTTTCCTATTCGGCTGTTTACGGCATTCATATGGTTTCCTGTTCACCGGATTGGTGTTCTGCAGTAGCTGTGCCTGTGTCTCTGGAAGGGGAAGATCTACTAAATGGCGGTTTTACCCTTTTATGCTGAGGGTGCCGTTACACAGCCCTTACACATACAAACACAGATTCACATAATGCATTCCTTACACACATATCAGGACATCCCTCTACTCCACCCCCTGTGAACAAACTCATTGGTGGAACATAAAGGTGGACCCTGGGACCCAGACCTTGAGCTGTGTAAAGGGCCTTAAAAAAATGGAGCTGCTTCCCGTTCTCCCAGAACATTGATTTTTGTGACCACAGTTACAAACAGCCTCCAGAGAGCCTGTTCTACACCAGATCAGTGGAGCCAGACTGCAGCTAGAGCCCATCATCATCCTCATCTGGTTGTAAGTAGGCAATCTAGCATATTATTCGTGGCACTAATCTCTAGTCCCCAGAACCACTTCAGCTTAATGTAGTGGTTCTGGTGTCCATAGCCTGTCCCTGCAGGCCTTTTAATGTAAACACGGCGGCACTGCAGCACTGGTGTTAGTTAACATGGCAGATCATATGGGTGGGGCATTGTGATGTCACATGGGGGGGGGTCGGCAAACTTTACTTTTGCCTAGGGCGGCAAAAATCCTTGCACCGGCCCTGCTCGCGTCCGACCGCGAGTAACTCAGGCGCCAGTAGGTGCACCTGGAGCTCGGGCAGACCGAGGAGGCAGCCAAACGGTTAGCCACTTGCAGCCCCGAGCGGAGCTCACGTAGCCCGCAAGTTAAAAGGGCGGGAAACTGGTAGAAGGCTAGATAGTGGGGTAGCCGGGGGGAGGCAACATAGAAAAAAAAAAAAAAGAATACTAAAAATACAATACTTCATGCACATAGAGCAATCAACAAACATTTATACTGTGTTCCACTCACAGGGGGGAACAAAACAAGGGAGATAAAACTGAAAAGGTACCCCCAGAACCCCCCCCATAAAAAAAAAAAACACCACAATAATTAAGATATCACCAGAGAAAAACCTGGGAGCAAAATTTTACCAAAAAGACAGTAATCCCAAATAAGCAGATATAAGCAATATAAATCATAAATAAATCATAATAAAACCCAAAGCTACCCACTAAGAGCAGGAGGCAGTGGTACTCTGACCTGTACTGATGCGGAGCAGCAAAGAAAGAGGAAATGATGCATGGGGAGGGCAGTTTTATAGTACCTAACTTTTTTTCTGTGCTGCTGTGGAGTTCTAGTAAAAGCCTCCTGTCATGTTATAAAATTGGCATTGGATGTACATATTTTTGGCAAATTTTAAATAACAAACTCTCCCCTCGATTAAATATT